TTATAATTTGACGTCTACGTAACGATGAGTTAATCGATATTATTTTATCAGGATTAAAAAAGGAAATTATTTCATTAATTATGCGAGGGGTTAATATCGATACTATCGAGGGAGTCGACAGGCAAATAAACAATACACAATGCATAATGCAATATTTATCGTTCACGTATCAATGCATATGAGAATTGATCCTTTTAAACACTATAAACATTATATCACAATTTTGCTGCAACGTTCTTCGTGACACGACACGTTTCAAGTTTCCAGAATCTGCAGATTCATTTTGATCGACATTAATTGGGTAATGATTTTCAACGTGTTCAAAGACTGGTTGTCGACTTTTTTGACACATGCATAGCTCCTGATTTTGCGATTCATTCCCCTGGCTATGAAGATTCATTCTCGTCGGATGCCGATCGCTTACGGACCATTCCAAGTGGAATAGCTTGCCAGGCAAGGTAACATACGCGCACTGGCAGCTGTAAGAAATGATAAAACAGTCTTTGGTGACAAAAGTACGAATTTTCTCATATTGAAGAAATTTCATTGGTTTGAAATCTATATATATATATTTACAATCAGTTATTTATGCAGGCAATTGCATAATTTTTTTTAAATCAATATCAATAACCCAACTACATATCAAGGGCAAAAACCTGAAAATTGTTAAGAGAGAAATTGTCGAAAATTCACACTTGACCAAGATCTCATCAATATAAAAAAAGACGTAAAACTCTTATTCATTTCATTTCCTTTATCAACATAAATCATCACATCAAATTTAAGGGCTAACTCAAAAACCTCTCATTGAAAAGTCGTCAAATTTGAACTTGACCAAGATCTCATCAATATAAATGATCACACTATATTTCATTTAAAATCAGGTGAACACTAGTCTGTATTGTGCTCATGATAAATTTTGACGGGTTTTTCCTAAGTCAAGGGCAATAATTCAAAAAACTGTTCATCGAAAAATAGTCAAATTCTCCAAAATCCAAGATCTCATGATCTTAATTCTCTATTGTTGACGGACGACGGACAGGGGCGACGGCAATATACGCCCATATTTCCATGTGGGCGTATAAACATTTAAAACAATATTAACCAGCTTTGTGCGAACAATCCATTTGATAGTAAATGTCTGTTTTTCAGCTTTGCAAACAAACATAATTGATGATTTCACATGACTAGTAAAGTGATGTGATTGTGATGTGGTCATTGACACATTACTTAATTCTAACATTCACATTCAGACTATTTTGTTGTAACACAAAAACCGGTAATTGATTTTTGTGGAATGAAATCCAGAATGTATTAATGATGAAGAATATTACAATAGAATGACATTCTATGAATAAATTGAATGATAAACCAACAGTTAATCCATCATGTTCATTGTCAAGTTTGACATGAGGGAAATTATATTTATATTTTTTTTCTCCATTCAACAAATGATGTAAAAAAAATATTGTTTTTAAGATGATACAACTAAATTTGAGCTAGCTTTCACTTTTCAGAATTAGAATTTCACGTCTGGTTCTCATGTAAATCACAGCAAACAGTTATCGACCATAATTTCCAGTTCATTGTGGTACGAGTCGAATTCAAATTTACAATCAATAGGTTTATTGAATAAAAAAGCAAAGCGTCACATAAATAGCTCTGTATAAAGGGAGATAACCTTAAAACAAATAAACACGAAAGTCTACAATTAAATTCCAACAGTTAACCTTATATTAGCTCATTGAATTTGAATATGGATTATATATGTCTTTGTCATTTCATTTCAGTGTCGCCTTGAGGTTCAATTCTATGAAAAATGAACATGGGTATGGGTAACTTATAGCAAAAGCAATTTGTCTGTCATTTCTCGGGTCGACTAGATCAAGCAGTTTATATTGTGAAGAAGCAGCAAATAATGTTGTAATAAGTAAATAGAAAAATCTTTATAAGGGGAGGTTACACTCAAATTGAAAATGACTTCCGGACCAACGAATTGCCACTCGTTTCCATGTTAAATCACCAAATTCAACCTTCTGTAACTTTATCAAGAAATCTCGTTGAAAACGTTCCAGTTTGTCACATGAAAGCCCATGTTCTTTTAGCATTTTTAGATAATTTAGATAATTGAATATCATAAGAATATTCATATTTATTTGAAATGACATACGGCTAGACCAATGAATTAATTTCCCCTTCTTTTTCGTCCTTATCTGAAAAAATCCCACCTGAAAACTTTGAAAAATGATTAAAAATGGTCGGAAGCTTTAGAATGCTCTGAAATCTCTGATGCGAAACTGCAAAATTCCCGATAATTCAATATAGGCCGCTATTTGCAATCGCTATCAATTTACACCAAATGTTGCGAGATTCCTATTGATGACTTGTAGTCTGCCAAGGGAGGTTATTATTCTCTAATGACGTGATTATGGGAATGAGCAACCAATGGATAGATATGGAATATATCCAAAGGTGTGAAAGGAACACGATCAAAGCCTGGCAAATGCTTAGTTTCAGGACAAAAATTCAAAATATCATGACCATGAAAATCTTGAGCTAGCCAAACTGAAAGTAGACCAATACATTTTATCAACATCCGCTTGACTGCCACTGCAAACATAACGACTGTTATTGCAAATTCAGTCGTAGGTGTCGACTAGATCAAGCGTCATATCAGATTCTTCCAGATTCTCTACGGTTCAAGAAGTAGTTGAAAATCCAATTGATCCCAGATTATGACAGTTGCAAGGTCGACCAAAGTACACCTTCATGATTTCATAATTTTGTACGCCAGAATATCAGAAATTCATGTAGTACAATAATAGTAATTTTACCCCTGTGTTTTCGGGAAACAATGCTTGGTGTTCATTTGTCCATCAGGACCTTCGCGTTTAGATTATTTCTACATTTTACAGTGGCCAAAAATGCACACGAAGAAGCTTCAACAAGCTAATACATGTATATACTTATCATGGTTCACATAATGTTTGTTGATACTCCAACGGTTTCGGAGCTTACTTTACGGAGACGACATAAACTTAGACTTCCAGCTGTCAAGGCGCAGAGCCTATTGTACGATGGACGTCGGAAAGTGTCTCACTCGGACAAATAGACGCTTTATACATCTTGAACGACCTGCTCAAACGACAGAGCAAACCGAGATGAATTCACAGTTATCCAGTATCATATGTTAAAGAGGAGGCACCAAAACGCTGATAATTCTCGGCTACCATGATAAATGAAGCAATGAATGTATTTATATGATTTATTGATGAATAACAATAAATTAGGGTTCAATATTTTATAAGGATGTACAAATCTGGATGAATATTAGTGAATCATTTATTGTGCTAATTTGATCAAATATTTAATTAGAAATGCATGACTAGTGAATGATTGAAAATATTTCATTTGATTAACTTTGTGCAAATGTGATATGAACTATTCATAATTATGACTATGTGAATATATTTAAATTTCTACCACACACGTCGGCATCTACTCGGTCTATGTATGACACACAAAATAATTATTTCAGCACCTGGAAGAGCAAGAATTTTCCTGTATGAAATCATTGCAGCACAACCTTGGACGTATTTAATGCCCTTTCCATCAATTCTAGAACTGATAACACCTTTGGCCTCTCAATGGATCAAACAATTTGGGTATAAAGTGAAATTTATTTGGTAAACGTGCTATTATTTTCAAGCCAAAGTAACATTTTCGTTTCAGTTTCATATAAAGTTTCTGTTTAATTTGAAATGAGATATCACGATAAAAAAGTAAGTATGTTGTGATAACGTGATGTGATGTGATCGTGATAGTACTAAATATCTGGTGATATATTTACAATAGGTAATAAAACAATATTTTACGATAATAAACAAAACGATTCCTGAAGAAATAAATAAATAAATGCAAATGTACACGAGTTAATAAGCAGGATCGTTACCCTTACAATGGTAGTTGGCTATAGTATTATCTGAAATTGTTTGGACAATGAAAGGACTAATCGTATCCATGCGTCGGGCTACCACGTAACGTAACGATGTCGGGGATTTCCAGAACAACCAAAGTAACCGTATGTTACCAAGCAATAGCTTCGCATCAATACAATGATTAATTTGGTACAGGTAGAATGTGCAAGACATGCATTGGCATTGGTTAGTAAGATGAGAAAACATCCCGTTTACCCTTAAGGCTCATTTAGAAAACTTTTTAGATTTGCTTATAATAGTTGAAGTAAATTGTTTCTAAACATTAGGAGATTCGTATTTTGCACAAGAAAGTTGTAAATTTGCCTATGTGCGTTTTACATTCCATTTCTAGTAGCACAAAGCAGATAGCCCTTGAACGTCATGTAGTTCATTAACATTTAAACTGATGAAGCATGAGACGAAGATTCGGATCTCATTTTTGCAGGTTTTCATTTTATGGATAATGTTGACTAGATTCTTTAAGTCTTGGTTAAAAGAGAAGTCAAACAGTGGATGTTGCTTTGTTCATTTATAAGGATAACGTCCATGCTTTTTACTTCGCTTCACAACTAGTCACTGGACGAAATAATATGAAATAAATGCTAAATCTTAATATACACATAATATACTAAATTATACAAAAAGCACACAGTTTACCCGATATTAACATGTTTATGTTTTTATAGTCTGAAACTAACAGTAATCTTCAGTCTATGTAACTCATCTTATTTCATTCTTTGGGAAGAAAATGGCTTCTGGAGTTATTTTAAATCTTGATAAACGTTCGTTTATTGCGTCACATCTTTCAAGTTTGAAATACCGCGATCTAATTTGAATATTTTCGTGCGTCTATTTTACAATAAGTTTTCTACTCTCTTCTCTTCATTTTCTTCTTCATTTTATCACTTAGCAGCCCATCACATATCACATTCACCATTTCTCAATCCGGTTGACTTATCACATATCTTAGCAGTGATTTTCACAACAAATATTGCACATATAGATTACATGAATCACATTTTGTCACACGTCATCAGGCCAGAGTATCACATTGTGATAAGTTAATATACACATCAGTAATGTTGTTAAATACACATACGATTCAGATTGTTTAAAACATCCACTAGAATAATGATGATCAGTTTGTGCACCACCCAGTGGATCTGTCCCCCGTTTTACATTTGATGAATCGGCTGAAATTGAAAAATATCAGTATTAGAAACTAGAATTACATTATTTTAAAGACATGGTATACATGATGATGAAATTTGTGGTCTTGAATTACGTAAGATTCAGATTATGTTTCCTTTCAATTAACTAATTTAAAGTACTTACAATATTATGTTAAAATCCCTTTTATTATTATAATTTTAGGCAAAAGAGCACATTACAATAGCATAATATGTTAAGCCTGTTGTTGTTGAAGAAAGAAGCGTAAAGACTAAAAAAAAGAACTACTAAATAGAGTTACTGTCCCTGTATTATATATAGCAATGATGAAAGCTTTGAATACAACAGAAAGCGAGTCTACAACAAGCTTACAAAACAACAAGCATATATGTATGACTTACATCTGCCGGATATATAAATATGAAGAAGCGATGGAAAATGAAAGCACAAAAGCATCGTTGGTATAAAATGTGCTAGCTTACAATGACAAAAGCATGAATGAAAATGATAATAGTCGCTTCAACAGTGCCAGATGACGTCATGCCAAGATATGAAGCCTTACCCACTAAGACGGTAACGTCCAAACTATCGATGTCCTCATTTGAACTTCTACAAATATAAGTACCAGAATCGGTAACTTTACTCCTTTCCACTATAAGTTCACTGATTAAAGATCTACTTTTGAGATCCACCTTTTTGTTTATTCTGACACTTTTATCAAGTTCCGTATGAATAATATCACCGTCTTTAAACCAGTCTATTTCCTCTGGTATTAAATGTCCTCCTGTAGCATTACACAATAAAACAACCTTTTCACCCAAATTGATAAATCTGTTACCTGTTAACGTCATACCTGAAAAGTAGGTATAATCTGATTGTAATGCATTTTATATACAAAGTGGACATAATCTCGGTCCTAACTTAGCATAGAGTACAGACAGTAGCACAGTTAGATTGCTGAAATGATGGTTTTAATCTCGGTGGGCCATAAAAAAACGTCCACCTTTCCTCATTATTCCAGTCAAACTAACAGTACGAAGCTTAGTGCAGGCACGATATATCGGTGTATCGTAATATAATATGCCACGATACGCGTATCGTATCGCGAGTTCGTGTATCGATACTTGACGATACCATTCATCAAATAAAATTGATTTAAAAGAATTTTTATCGGTTATCAAATAATATTTATTGAAACTTTGAAGGCCAAGTATTAAATTATATACCATTACCCCATAATGCGATATGTATCGTATCGTAGCATTATTGGCGAGACCCAGCACTAACAAATGTACAAAAGTGGTTGTTTCTTTCTTTCTTTTTTTGATAAATAACATGCATTACAATACTGAGCACTACTGCCAAGACGTCTCTAATCAAAGTGAAAGTACATTATCGTTATCTTCTAGATCGACAGAAAAGATATACATGTATAACATTGTAGATTAAACTCGTTACTAAATCGGCAAGTAGTGGAATAGTGAAATTAGACCAATACAACTGCCATCTTTCTTAATCGAAGAGCAACTTTAAAGGTTTATTAGAAAGAGATATCAAAAGTTTGGTTTGTGGTCTAATCGAACCTATTCACCCTATATTATCTTGTCTAAAATATCATAAGTTTACATTGCTCACCTTCTTGTTTCTTTCTGGCTTCTGAAATAAAACAAAACTCGTATGAATACATAGTATGAAATATTTCTCTGAGTCTTAGAATTTGACTATTTCCTGGTAACAGTAACACGGTAAAAAGTTGTTTTTCTCGGGTGTCGCTAGAGGGATATGCTGATGAAACACAGTGTGTTAAAAGGGGCCACCTTCATTAAAACTTAAAATGGATATGCAGCATCAGTGAATGGGTCCATATTTTTCAAATATGTGGTAAAAGGCGAATGTTACTGGTCTGCTGAACAAAACGTCAGCATTTTCCGGATTTCCTGATAGTAGAATTCACTTCATACTTTAAAACTTAAATTTCCCAAACTTAATACTTAGACTTGTACTTTGACTTTCCGTGAGTGTAGCTAATAATTTTATATCTCATATAAATTTGATGATCTGAATAGGAATTTAGCTTGAGTAACCAAATTTGATTCGAAATTTGGAACCTATTATTAGAAGGAATGTATTACCAATAATTTCTACTTACTTAATACATTTAATTTAATTCTATGTGTTTGTTTTCTTTTAGCAATAATTGAACATTCATAAATTCCTGCATCCTCCATTTTTACTGGATTAATAACTAAATTCCAATCACTCAATTCCCCTGCATGTTGTTTATGGTCAACTTTAATCTCATCTTCTCTAGCCCACGTCAATAATCCTATTGTTAGAAAAAAATCTTCACCTTTCCTCTTCCACGACACCTGTAATATAGATTTAGAAATGACAGAGGTGTCCAGAACGGTTCAGCATTGACCAAGTCATCTAATAATTCGTGGTGGGAATAACAGTGATTTATTTTCACTTTCATGAGCTGCACTCTAACCGAAGGACACAGGATATCTAAGGATCATGTAGCTTTAAAACCTTAAAAGATTCTTTATCATAAGCTAATGTTAATCTTGGATTAATTTGTGCTTTATATGATACAGAATATAAGAACCCGATTACTTATTGTGAACTTTAAATAATATTACTCTTTCTTTACAAAATAAGATAGTTTAAGGACGACACAGTGACTCAAGAATACAATAAAACCATGAACGAAGAAATATATTACGGTAAAAACAATAAAATGCAATAACTGTTTGCCCAAATTTTCTTTTTAATCATAGTCGCAATTTTATTCTTTACTTCGTCTTTTTCACAACGGAAGTTGAGAGTGTGTTTTATCAAGAATTAATTCAAAACTATGTTTAATTAGCATTCGAACCGATCGTGACTAACTCTTCAAAAATTTGGCAATCTCAGTAATTTCATTTCATAGAAGATCAATTTCAGAGTTAGTTAATTTTTAGATTATTTTGATGTCAGACTTGGTTTCCATTTCTATTACTGTAGAAAGACTAGTTTCCATGAAAATAAAATAAACTAGGACGGATTGAGAAATTCAATGTTATTTTATTCTTGCCACTATCTCATCAACAACTGAAGCTACATTATTACTGTCCAAACAGATCTCTTTCTACTCTCTACTCATCCAAGAAATTTATTTGGAATGAAAGCGATTTAACGGTATAAGACTGTTTTCTTAATAAATAATAGAAAAGAGAAATATTTTGTTAAAACCATTCTGAAAGGCATAAACTTTGAAGATTGGGTTAATTGAAAGGTTTCAATGCTATTGGAATTTTTGTGCATATTGAAAACAGAAAGGGTTAAATACTGTGAACTTTCAATTATAAAAACTACTAGGATAATATTGGTATTGATTTTACAGATATTACCACGGTAGTACTGTCTGAAATATACTATCGTAAAGAACATTGTTTGGCATCGGTGCTTACAATGACGAAGTCTAGTAGAAGAGCACTGCTTCACTAGTTCATTGTACTACATTTTCTTTAAGGACCTGGTTTGCTAAAGCAAAATTACTCTGCTAATTATGCTTATATCAATTATCTGTTTGGGTCATAGAATGTATTAGTATGGTCTTAGCTGAAAATTTAAGGTGTTAAAAAGGTTATAGAAACTTGTATCCAAAGGTGACCTACCATCGCCAGCAATATTAGCTTGCGTTTTATTACGAAACAATGCTCAAATATAAAGGTTTCTCCAACCATTTCAAAAGCTGGATCAAATAAAGATAAAGTTAATTAGAGTTGATGGAATTAATAAGAGTTATATTGATGATATTAAATCATGTTTATCTTCTACTTAAAATATTAAAAATATTATCGATATACTACAGTTATTTCAATAGGTAACTATTGATAACAAATCAGTATATAAACATAAAACTGAAACCTGGTATTGATTGCAGAAAATTCTTATACAAATTACTTAAAAGTTGAAACGTGACAGAAATTGTCTGCATCTCTTATTACTGTATCTTGCTGACATAAAATCCACTGTAAAACTGAATAATAAACGTGTTCTTGGTCGTGATCAATACAGATGGAATGTTAAGTATACTGCGATCAGTGTTTTCTTTAAAATTATTAATTGGAATTCTACACATTATAAAATCATTGAATAAAATGTTGGAATATCATTTAAATTTTTCCATATTTTATCCCCGAACTGAAAGCATTTGTCTAATCAAGTCACAACATCACTGGCCAGGGAAACAAGAGTAAAATCATCCAAAAGAACATAACGATACCTATCTGGAAATCAATTCATATTCATCATAGTCAAAGTTGTGGTTGTCAAAACAGAACCACGCCCGGCTATAACCTTGCAGATCAACCAGGGTTCAATTTAAGAGGTATCACATCGCAGTTTGCAAGTCAAAATGAACCCTTTTGAGATCCAGTATTTCTAATGATTAGTCAAAATCAAAATTTATCAGGATGATTTGAGAATAAAATTAATTGTATAATTTTCGAAAAAAACCTTCTGAAAAATCTATAGAAGAAACTCTGGAAAGTCTCAATAATGTTAAAGAGCCGTCGTCATTGGCAAGATCGATTTGTAGTCTACATTTTGAATTACTATCGAAATGGCTACGGACATTAAAATCATCATGAACAATAGCCTTACCTCTCGTGTGCCGACATAGTGTATAGAACATGGTAAAACAGCTTCTTCACCAGCATGTACTGTTATATTAGTTTTATCAGACACAAAACTTGGTTTGAGCTGTCTCTTTCTGGATTTACCGGCATCCACTTCTGAAAATACAAAATATACTTTATATAAATTTCATTATTGAATTCAGCACTAACAAAATGTTTGTATTGTATCGAATGAAAGTGTGTGTTTTTATATCTAATATGCAAAATTCCTTCGAAGGAATTGCGCGAATGTATTGTTAATAAACCCTAGATCCCTCCGAAGAAGGTGGCAGAGAATAACAATCTTTCCCTTGGCGCTGTTAGTCAATTTAAACAATGGAACTGCAGTTTCTTATGCCAAGAACATCAACTCGGGCAATTTCAAAGTACTTATATCCATTTTCCAGTTTTTTTGAAAATAAAACCAAACAACCCTTAGCAGGTTACAAGTGTTTTGTACATTTTAATTAATAACACTTTTAATAATAAGAGGAGTAAGGATATCACCTCTTTTGTTAGAAATAACATTATACTGTATATAAGAGCTGTGAATGTGTGCTCTTTAGAATATTAAACAGTATGTATCAATTAATATATTTCATGTTAACTGTTTATTCTGCAGAAATACAAATATTATGATTGATGTAGTGTCAATATTACATTTTCCTATTAGATCGTAATTTCTCTTTGTATAATATGTGATGAAATGCAGCAAATGTCAATTTGCATATTAGCTTATTATGTTATTACGGTACATGTGACATAGAGCAGACTCTTCTGAAGGCTATAGGTTCTGTAGAACCCCGCGTTATTTGATAATTGGCAAATGCAACAACAGAAATGTTCGAGTAAATCGTGATCAAAATGACAAGTCTTAAAACAGTTTCCATGTGTTAACCCAGCTATGGTTGTTGCACCAAACCTTCTCGCAATTTGGTATTTGTAAAGAATGTATTTTTATATTATAAAGTTTGCTGTCAGTAAAACTACAGTCTTCTGATGTAAAGTAATAGATAAAAAGCACGTATTACATATATCAATAATCAATACCATTTACCATAATACTGAGGACATTGAACTTATATATAAATTACACATTGTTATATGTTCTACCGTTCCTATTACGCATAATCAAAAGTAAATTGTTAAGAGTTGTAACATTAACACATTATATTAACCCTGATGTCGCCAGATTAAACCGTAATTAAAAGTAAAAAAAAAAAACATTTTTACAGGGATGGTCTTAATATAATACCTTAAATAAATATAGTATGCACATTTTCTTAAAGTGTTTTAAATTATTTTCATCTGCAATTAATGTCCTATGTTTAAGATAAAAAGAAACAAATAGATCATTATTGATGGTTATCCTTCGTTTTTTGATTGAAAACCATCACTGCAGTAAGACCATTATTTGTACAATATTGTTAACTTGTAGTTTGTCCGATTAAATATAATGGGTTTTTAATTTACTGAATGTATATTATGTAAACTAGATGATATGATTCTTTAAAGCAATATAATATGAATGCAGATCTCTATTGAATGTCATATTAAATGGGTCTATTATAAAGTTATAATGATATAACTATGATATACAATTTAACCTAACAATACGACTACTCAACATTCCAGCTCTGGACATAAAGTTCAAACAACTTGTCATAGATACTTTCTTTACTGTTTCACTATTCACAACTCTTATACCACACACAGTCAACTTGCTTATATTATGCATCACCATGTGCATTCAAAACTAACAAAGACTTAGCAGCATGTGTAGAAACATCACATAATCAAATGACTAATTCCAATTGCTTTCACTGTGTGAACACAATTTACTAGAGAAGATATTCATTATATGAAATATGTATGCCAATTTATATAATGAAAATTGCACAAATATTTCATAGTATCGATTCGGAGCAAACCAGAGGCAGCAAGTTGAACACGGCAACATGATAACATTTTGAAAAGTCATATAAATGCCTGTTTTCTCTTGTATTTAGGTAATGACATAACTGTAGTTAAGAAATTATGGCAAGACTGTGACTGTCTAAATTCCAAATTTTCGATTCTCTCTCCTAGAAAGTGAAATTCTTGAGATCTTGCAATGGAAAATGAAATGGTGCAGTACAATCATGTCTTACTTGACTACAGTGTAGTACCTAGTTTATACCATTCTCTCCTTAATACCACACTTTAAGTATAGATAGACTATGTGATATTTAACTCCTACACATTTCAAGTGGAAAACATTAAATATTAAAGACCTTGACTTGTCATAAATGACAAGATATGCCAAAAAAAAGAATCCCTTCTCGTCATAAATATTAAAATAAGACAACTCGAGATGCCCTTTTATCTTATAACAAAGGCAAAATAAAAACTACTGGGAACGAATTAACAAAAAGAATGAAAAGAAATTGTAGAAGGTGGTTTTTGAGGAAACATCATTCAAAATATCATTAAGTGTTGCAGCATACAATACATTTTTGAAATACTCAAGGTGATAACACAACAGAATAGCAATTAAAAATATTGATTCATTAAGAAGTGCTCAAAGACAAATGAATTTTTTGCGTCAAAACTTACAAAGCTACAATGCTGATTTCCAAGTGCTTTTTTTTAATGTCACCAAGCATATTATTCCAGTCATACCAGGGTAGCTATGACTTATTACTTTACAATCTTTTTATATTGTCTAAAATAAATATTAACTAATTGCAAAGAAAAACAAGAAAATATATATCGTTAAGTACTGCTCAGATCAGGTTATCAATAGGACCTCAGAATTGCAGCATTTCAATCCGATGTCTTCCATCTATGTTTTTGGGCTACTACCCGTTTTAAGAAGAAAAGGTATGACAAATATTCGACCATTGTAGAACTGAATACCTATCAACCAACCGCACATTTTACATGTTTCATGTGTCTTTACCGCCTTGTGTGGTAGTATAGAGTTTTCCAGTAAATTACAGAAACTGTTTAACTGTACACAAGTTAACACCTCAACCTGTGAACTAAAACCATTGATGTCAAGACCGGGGCTTGAAATTCAGTTTACATATACACTAATTCGCCCCTTTCATTGTTTACATACAACGGTAGCTTTAATCTTCCCATTTTACCTGATTTGAATAATAAACAAATACTTAAGTCTTGTTATAAAATCCACTCCATATTGACACCTTAGTTATTTTAATTCTCTATTAGGGCGAATAAATCCGCCATTATATTTGCTTGGGATTTAATGTCTACTGACAAATGTTATTGCCTATAATGCTTGTCTTACAATGACGATTCATAAACGAGAAAACTAAATGTTTTTATGAAGTTCTATATTAAATTCCTGTCTATTGTGACACGGAGGTAAGAAGGGAAAGTGATATTAATTTCACAGTACTGGAATGACTTGACCACCCATTTATTCTCAACAATACAAGGTATTCCTTTTTGTTCTCAAGTGACAAAATGACATATGAGCGGCGACAAAATTGAAGATCATGAAAATCTATTGTAGGAATGAAATAAAATTGAATTGTACCTTTTCAAAATATGTTTTCTTTGATGTCACAGAAAAATATTTTAATAACAATGGTAAGCCAAACAAAAAACTATTCTTGACTTTGTCAGCGAATTATCAAGTTTATTTTTCAAGCCAAATGTATTTTTATATGTACATCACAAGAAAGTGAATAAAGTTAACAAACACCAATGTAAATCAAAAAGAGAATATTCAATAGTATCGTCGAAATGATTGCATTATCCTGCTTAAAACCAGTCAATCTTTCCATTCTGTTATTATTGCCGGCTTTGACCAAAAATATATAATTACCTATCAGTTATTTCTGAATGAAGTCCACTGACCAGACGATGTTAAATTACGTAGATCATAAAATATCTTATACCTTAGACTAACAATTATACGTCTAGAAGACCGTTTCCTTCTATAATTTGTAGTCATGATATTCATATACAATTTAGCCTTTGAAATGAAAACCAATATAAAATGTCATTTGACGAGTCGTCAGTCTGGAACAAGAACAACAAGGTTGATTTGCTGAATCGACAATCATTGAATTATGCCAGAGTGCAAGGGCATCTGAATTATGTGCATCGCAATAAGAGTAAAGGTGTCCTCACACCATAGCGATCCCCAGTTGAGTATGGTATGTAAAAAAAGCAAGTGGTCATGAGTTACGAACGTAACTTACAACTCAGTTGCATGAAAGTTGCGTTTAAAACTTGTGACCTCTATTCTTAATCATAACCATGCGCAACTGGTGATCGCAATGGTCTGATGGCCCCTTAAGACTGTTTAAACTTAGATGATGCTGTTTGTTTCGTTGTTAATGCAACGTACACTTAATTTTCATTATACTACGTTTTGACTTTGACCCAATGTTTTTCTTGTCTTCCTCAACAGCGATATATGACAAACCACAAAAATAGAGACCTACATGAGTTTCCACGCTGGTGGAGTGAATTTTCATCAAAGTGCTTTTACTTAGACCTTATAAAACTTTTTGAACCGTTAAATTATAAATTCAACAGCCATATCATTAGAACACACATTATATTTTTTATAAAAATACAACCACCATATGTTTCAGTCTGAAATAGTGTTAATGCTGCATATCATCTGTTAGTTATTTCAGGTTGAAATCAAGTCACTTAGTTCAAGATCTGGTTAATTATCTTACAAACTCTTCTATTTTAACGCTAATAATTAGATAAATTGTTTAGCAGGTAATATGTGATAGGCGTAACAGTAAATTGCTGCAGTCACTTTGTTTTAACGAGAATGCCAATTATTTTGTGATCTGTTTAAATTGTGAAACGTTTTCCGTCTAGTGACACTTGATAATGCTTTCACTGACTGAACCTATAAATGATTACGGTTAATGCGAAGTTTTTATTTTTAGTGAACAATTTGAGTGCGTTAACCCCAAAGAAATTTATAAACAAGACGCCATTTCCTAACAGAATTCAAGGTCATGTGTTATTATCTGTACCTGTCTCATTTGCTGATTTTTGGACATGTCTTCCGAATTCATTGATGTTAGAGAAAATAAAAATTTGCAGGTCGGTCTGAATACTATACCTCCATCTAGAAATCCACTTGGTTTCTTGTACATCAGACAAGACTAGAATTTGAACAGATAACAGAACAGACCTACATCATTTTCGCCATTGTTACCTTGTTATTTTACATGCTAAATCTCAGTTTTTAAACATTCAACAAGCCTGCCAGCAAAAACAATATTCCGCGTTTTTAGAATTTTTGTAGCAGCAAAGAAAATGGGTGTCGACATTTTCTACATTTCATCAAAGTTTTTAGTGCTAAACGTAGAGTTATTTAGCCGTTGGCACACATCGCGCTTAAATTTCGTTTTCATCGTCTCGTTTGATAAGAAGGCAAACATGCCCTTCTAGTATTTGATTTAACTGCTGTATTCGCCTTGCGTCTCCTAGGATATTTTTCTCTCTCCTTCAATAATAACACATGAATCGACTTGGCAGCCATTGCTTGAGGCTTCATTCCCCACTTTGAAGTTTTATAGAGATAAAGAGTGAAGAACATCCTTGAGGAGAAAGTACTGAAAATTGATCACCTTAAAGATGTTGTTAGAGACGAAAAGTTGTTTCCGCTCATTTCAACATTCCTAATTTCATGACCCGATTTCACAGTTAATCATTACTAAACAATACTCTCGTCAAAGTTGACGTGTTATTGGTTAGCAAAAACACTAAATTCCTCTTAGCTAATACCACATGCATGTTAGGAATCCATCATGATCTCACTGCAATTACACTAAAGGTATTGTGGCGTAGTCTGTTAAGCATTAACATGCAAAGCTCTCGTCCAAATTGATGGATTAGATTGTAAAAAAGCCAAAAATGTTTTAGTTCGGTAAGTTTGAATAAAATAAGCAATATTTAACCAGTAATTAATGATGCAGCGAATACAGTAAAATAGGTACTTTCTGTGAATTCTCTGCTTTGCAATGGCCAATGCTGGGAATTTGTGGTATTTTCTTCTGCTTTTATTTTCAACTGTCGATATTTGACGTACATCATCTAAACTGTAGCCTAAATCGGTCAGGTTGCATTATCATTTACGACTGAACATATCTCCCATTTAAGCCTCTTGGACCCGCATTACTCATATGAGAAAACCGTTTTTTCTGGACCGTAACAGACATTCAATCCCAAACCTTTGAGTTAATAGTAAAACATTTTGACTCCCTAAAATTAAAGAACTTACAAAGTAACATATTTAATGGACAACCATTAAATTAAACGATCGTATGAATAATGGCAAGAAAGCAGAAGTGAGAACCACCCATATTCCATACGTTACGATTTAGAGAACTTCAGACGGAAGAAATATGCAAATTGATTCAGTATTCTGAAGATTAAAGAACGTCTGCAAATAGTTATTTTTTAGCATTTTAAAGTTGGTAAAGGATTATGTTTATTTCTCGCCCTGAACCTGCTTATTTAGTGAGAAACTTGCTGGTAGAGTAAGGAGGAAATTATGTTACTTTTAATTAAGTCAAGGAATGTGTGTTTTCACTTAAGACATAATTCTCTACAAATTATTGATTGTTTAAATGAGCTTCGTACTGTATCAGTTTCTATTTTTTACTCTCCTATTTCCGGCTGTTTTTCACCTATTATCTGTTTAACAGTCTCCATGATGGAGAAAACGTTTTACTAACGTTCTTTCTTTATAAACAGAAGAGAAAAACATCATATTAAATTGCACACATAATGGTAAGACTTTAATGATATTCTTGTTAGACAACATGATGTGTTAATCATTGAAGAATTCTAGACGATGAACATTAATTCTAAACTCTTGGCTTTAAGTCGGTAACATTTCTTATAGTAAGATATATAAATAAGACATGGTTCATGATACTTAACATGTTTAATAGAATACTTTGTGAATGATAAATAAGACAATGTAGATAATCAAATACCAAGGGTTTCCAAAGATCGTTGTAATGAATCCCACCAAATTTTTCAATACAGAACATTTGAAATCCCCCTAGATAACTAGTTCAAAGAATATAATGATATCGATTTTTGGCAGTGGAATTTGAATTGTATTATGTTCGTCAGGGCTATTTGGAGTATCTGCATGGATTTGTACAATGCTACAATTTATGGAACTATGTATTTCTTATCTAGAAGATAACTAGGTGATGTTAAAATAGCCTTCAAATTAATTCAATTGGTCCTTAACATTAGAATTTGCACCATATATGCTTAAACTATCTGCGTAAATTGTGCTGATGCTTTTCCCATTGTGTGGAATAGTCCTTAAAATCAACCTTTCTTGTCATTACGTTTAATAGCATTTATCATCATGAAAAGAAAGGCATAATAGTATGAGGTTAATTAATGTAAATTAAGTAAATTAATTATAATAATAGATAGTCTACCAAGCTTATTGTCTTCCAGCCAAATATAACAATCTCATTCGATGCTAGAAAACAACTAAAATATAATAATGGAACAAATCTTGTGAAGAAGGGTGTCATGAAGAATAAGGTCTGAGAAGTCTGATTTTGGAATCAAATGGGTGCTTAATGACTGTTGAAATAAACCACCAAATGTTTGTAGTACAAAGAAAATGAATTGATCGGAAGAAACTGGAACATCAAACGCCAGAATATAGCTCACATCCTGTTTTAAAATTTGTCGGATTTGATCTACCGTGAACGCAAACTGCAACAATCTAGGCACAGAGCACCGAACCTTTGACTATAATGACTGGTTTCTAACATGTTTTCTTTATATAGTTTGATTTGTTTTCAATCTCGTTGACAGGTTGTGTTATATTCAGCTTTAAATTGAAAATAATTTGAAGTCTACAGACGCCACTTCGATCGTTCACAATCTTATTTAATACTATTAGAATTGAGTGCTAAGCTCTATAGTGTAAATAGAATTGAGTTAAATGTATTTAGAAAATGTTTTATCTTTGAATCATAATGTTTCTGATAAGAATTTATATCAGTGGTTTAACTAGAATGGAAGGTTTTTTTAAATACAGAAGATTACCTTTATGGGTAATAATTTAGGGAATCTCTTAAGAATAAGTTATGTCGACCTCGGCCCATTGAGCAATCAAGCATCATATTGTCGACTGTTGCTATCAGTTGTTTTTTTTTACCCCAATTTTGCATCTTGTTGACGACTTGGGCGTCTACCTCGTGCAGTTAATCGTATACGCTAGTAGTGGTTGAATTTCTCGATATAATTATGCTTTGAATCGTCTGTTAGCATAAACCAAACTTAATGGCAAACGCTGTTTTAAATGCCGTTGTATTTATTGCAAGAAAACTTCCCGATGTTTGATAATTTGAATCCTAGAACTCTATCAAGCCAGTAATATAGATGTCAGAGAGAGTAATGTGGAAAATAAATAGGGGGTAATTCAATTATCTTTGATTTATTCAACACTGCAATCATAAATCATAACCTAGTACACTGTGGACCTGTATTTCTAGACGGTGACTGTATCTCGTGGTAATCACCGACTATTAGTTGCTGATCAATGTGGCGCCCGAGGGAACAAGTCTGGATTTATTTAACTACCGATCAACAATTCAGATTAAGAATAATATTATTCTATGTCTTTATGACTATGGATATTTCAATAACATGGAATATAAAACTATTAGTTTACTTTACACACATCGTGAAAGTAGATTTTTGTACTAACAAGATATTCATAATTGTCATTCTTACACACATGTATAGCACAAATCTAGAAGTAGCGTTTCATAACCAGTCTTTTTCATAATGGGCCTGCTAATTGGCAGTTTCATAATTTTCATGTAGTAGAGAAGAATCAATTTATTATTTATTTATTTATTAATTTTGTACAGTGTCATTTGGTAGTAAATTTGAATATAATGTGACCATCAAATTAATGTAAGGATATCATCTTTATGCTTTTCCTAGCTGAAACAGCTGTATTTCAGCTAACATTAGGCTACAGGTCGCCTACAATCAAATACATCTCTACCCGAGGAAGATAATTTGAATTTTCAGGGCATTATTATCACCTTCTTATGTAACGTAGATAATGTCAATGGCGTCATAATGGAAAAATTGTAATATCGGAGTATGTCACTTCCGTCGTATATTTTCTAATTAATGTAGACAGTTAGACGTCATTCTGGCAAAACAAATGTTAAAACGATTTTTGTCTTTAAAAACCAATTGAATCAGTCAACCAGTTGCCTCTAATGCCTCGTGATGCTCTGGAATGGCATTTGAAATCTTACGCTATCCTTAGAGTGTAATAAACAAGATGGAAAATCGGTAATGGTCAATGACCGTGTAGTGTGTGATATGATAGCATTCCAGTACGGAGGTTACGAAGAATTGTCAACATTGACAAGATTTTGTCAGTATGACAGACCTCGGATTGATTTTGTCTCTGGTATTATTTTGTAATCAGAGAGTTCTATAAAAGCTTTCCATTGATTCGCTTCACAAGAGACAAGATTTTAATTGCTATTCACCTCATTTTAAAATGTCTCTTTATTTCAAGATCGATGTGGGAATTGGATGTCAAACAAACCGATAATTTAACATTTACTCGTCAAAATCCATCGAAGCAGGAAGGAAGATGTTTTATTTGTGTCTGGTAACAATCTTTGTGTGACATTGAATGATCAGAATGGTGGTTGTAAGAGGGGTTGAAGGGTTAAGTGTGATAATAAACCTGTCTGATCACTTCAGTTTATTGTCAAATATCATCTTGATTTCATCCGGACTTTTGTCTGCTTGCAGAAAGCGTTGAAAGTACGATAGTCTTGAAATGTCAATGATAAAATTAATGTCAGTTTAAAAAAAACATTGTATTCTGTCGAAAAAGAACTTAAAATCAAAGTCAAGGAAAGCTGCAAATCATTTTTAGGGGGAAATGATTTCACTGAATATAGTGTGTATTTGATCTCAGACCTAAACAATCTGCCCTATGAAAACAAGTGCAATAGATAAGTGCGCTCTTAATACAATACGGAAAGATTACCCTGTTAAATCACTAAAAATTGACAACAAACAATTTATATGACAATGTCTTCCATAGTCAAATTCCTCTAACATACATATTGGATTCTATTTAAAGATACGACTATCTACAATATGCCACTTCAACTTTCGAGGCATGTTCGAAGCAGATCAACATATGCATTGAGTAGAAAGGTCATTTAAGATGAGATCTTTCAAAGACGGTAAACAGATTTCCGTTGTTTCCACACATTTGTTTAGTAAAGCAACAGCCTGGATATGTATATCAAACGCGACCCGTTGTTTGAATGTCAATTCTGGAGATTGTCTAACTAACTCCATGTGAACTTTAACTAGCAATAATCAAAATATTATTTTGTTTGGTCACTAGGGACTGCATTAGGCACGTTCTTATCAAAGTCGGCGTTAGTAATGCAACTAAACAGATTATGAAAGTGTGTGGCTGCACTATGATTTGAAATACAATAATGAAAATATCTACACCAGCATAATACATTAAGATTCTGTTTTATATGATTCAGCCCCGCAGTCAGATTTCATTGTTCAGAGAGGGGCAAATAGTATATATTAACTTCAAATAAACCTGTAACAATCAATTGCAGTCAAACAGTCTTGTCGATATTAAAATACATGGAATTCTTCGCAAAATACATGAAATATCTTAACAATACAAGAAATCATGTTAAAGGTACATGAAATTATCTGAAATTTAGTATCCTTTTATTGCAAATTTTAACTAATAATAATATTAAATGGGTCCACAGAAGAAATGTATGCACATGTTATGTAATCAATTCTCCTATCAAAGTCATAACATACACTAATTTTTACTGGTTGATACGTTGTATTTATCCTCTTATAAAATAAAGAAACTTTCCGCATTTCTACTGTCAAAATAAACAGGAGAACATGTGTAGGGGAGGGTTTATACCAGGTGGTTATTAGAAATGAATGGGAAGCTTGAACTTCAGCATTTTCTACTGTTTCCTGGCATTGGTTTTATCTGATAATAGAAATTGCAGTGGTTTTATCTATTAATGAATGGTCTACCATATGGATAACTGGGCGTTATTATATTCTAAGCGCCTGTGTATACTGTAAACGCCTGTGCCACTGTAAGCCGTAACTAAGACACACTAACTAACGGAATAGCAAGAAAATTTCTGGAAACCTTGACTGTACTGTCAACATTTCTGTACTGTTAATTAAAAGTATTTATCATTAGTGACTTTACTACAGACTGACCTTACCATCGGAGGGAAAACTCCTTGAACATTATCGAACGTCCTATGTGCTACGTTGCTATGTAGCAGTAGGTCGTAACGTTACACCTTAAGGTGCGAGGTACTGAAGAGGTTTTGTCGATATGACCGAATATAGACGCAGGTTAGGTTTTCCAACACGATGCGGAAGCTATTGACTTTTATTGTTTAGGCAAAGCCACACCGGACACCGTACTATGTCTATTCAACCTGTACCCTACATGATAGTTTCTCATATCATTACCCTTACATTCTACGACATGACAAACTAACCAACACTAACAGTGTACCAGCAGCTAATTTATAACAGTTGATATATTAGAAGATAATTATGCATCTGGGTATATTGCACCATGTCAGGCCAATAATCACATAATTTTG